ATGTGACCAACTCCGCTCTCTCTGTCTCTCTCTCTGTCTGCTCTCTGTCTCTCTCTCTGTCTGTCTGTGTCATGTATTGTATGTCACAATTGCAGGATGCTGGGCACACGCGCGCCCCGAATAAGTGACCAAGTTCTGTGGGTGTGTACCCCACGCCAGTGTAGTAGCCACGGTCGTCCGCACGCCACGAAGTGAAGTGTCCCAACGTCATAGGGCGGGAAGCTGGGTTTGGGTGGTCGCGAAGAGTCGTTTGGATATTTGGTAGAGCTTGAACTGCCCCCCCACGAAGTGGGGGTATTGTCTCGCGTCGCATGAAAACCCTGGCACTGGTGAGAACACTGAGCGTTCGGGTAAAATGATTGTTGTTGTTGTTGTTGTTGTTGTTGTTGTTGTTTGTTGTTGTTGTGGCTGTTGATGTTGTGGTTGTTATTGTTGTTGGTGTTGTTGTGGTTCTTATTTGTGTTGTTGTTGTTGAACATTATTAATTCTAAAAAATAATTATTGTTGGGGCCCCTGGTGCACGGCCCCCCCGCCGCGCCTAGGCCGCAGCTACATTTTCATCATTTTTTCGCGAAAGCTTCAGAAAAGTGGATGGGGTCCAGATCCGGTTGTTTTGTTGTAATCCGTTTTCCTTGCAAAAAACACTATAAAATGACATTTCTTGTTCTAATATAATCAAATTTCAAGAATCCCTTGCAAAAAATATGGTAAAGTGGACATTCGCGCGCGCAAGACGAAATCCTTCCAAAAGCTTAGTGTTCGGAGCGATTTTAACATAAAAACATCAAAAAACCAATGGTTTTTCAACAAAAAAATGTCAAAATCTCATCCCGCGCGCTCTTGCGGATTCGTAGGAAACCCAACACTTTTTAAACATTTCTGTCAAACGGGCTTTTGCGAGCAACTTTTTCGAACTTCTGCGACAACGGTTGCGCACCTGCCAGGGCCATCATCCCTGTCAAATAATACCATGCGGGACACATTCGTTTTTTCTTCGCGCGCGCACGCCGAAATCTCCAAAAACCATTGGGCTTCTTAAGAATTTTAGCACCGCGCATCATAAAATCACACGAATCGCACCGTAGGTCCTCGAAAAACACCTGCACGACTTTTCAAAATTTCTACCCGCGCGCGCTGTCCTAACAACTTCTGTGGGTGTGTACTCCACGCCAGTGTAGTAGCCACGGTCGTCCGCAGGCCACGAAGTGAAGTGTCCGAACGTCATAGGGCGGGAAGCTGGGTGTGGGTGGTGGCGAAGAGTCGTGTGGATATTTGGTAGAGCTTGCACTGCCCCCCCACAAAGTGGGGGTATTGGCTGGCGTCGCATGAAAACCCTGGCACTGGTGAGAACACTGAGCGTTCGGGTAAAGTGATTGTTGTTGTTGTTGTTGTTGTTGTTGTTGAACATTATTAATTCTAAAGAATAATTATTGTTGGGCCCCCTGGTGCACGCCCCCCCTGCGCCGCCTAGGCCGCAGCTACATTTTCATCATTTTCGTGAGGAAGCCTCAGGTAAAACGATGTGATCCAGATCCGGTTGTTTTGTTGTAATCCGTTTTCCCTTGCAAAAAACACTATAAAATGACATTTCTTGTTCTAATATAATCAAATTTCAAGAATCCCTTGCAAAAAATAAGGTAAAGTGGACATTCGCGCGCGCAAGACGAAATCCTTCCAAAAGCTTAGTGTTCGGAGCGATTTTAACATAAAAACATCAAAAAACCAATGGTTTTTCAACAAAAAAATGTCAAAATCTCATCCCGCGCGCTCTTGCGGATTCGTAGGAAACCCAACACTTTTTAAACATTTCTGTCAAACGGGCTTTTGCGAGCAACTTTTTCGAACTTCTGCGACAACGGTTGCGCACCTGCCAGGGCCATCATCCCTGTCAAATAATACCATGCGGGACACATTCGTTTTTTCTTCGCGCGCGCACGCCGTCGTCGTCGGCCGCGGGGCCCTGAATAGTAGCCACGGTCGTCCGCATGCCACGAAGTGAAGTGTCCGAACGTCATAGGGCGGGAAGCTGGGTGTGGGTGGTGGCGAAGAGTCGTATGGAAATTTGGTAGAGCTTGAACTGGCCCCCCCACAAGGTGGGGGTATTGCCCGCCTCCTGTGAAAACCCTGGCACTGGTGAGAACGGAGTGCCCCCAGTCTTAAATGATTGTTGTTGTTGTTGTTGTTGCTATGGTTGTTGTTCATGTTTATGTTTATGTTTATGTTGTTGTTGTTATGGTTGTTGTTCATGTTTATGTTTATGTTTATGTTGTTGTTGTTGTTGTGGTTGTTGTTGTTGTGGTTGTCGTTGTTGATGTTGTGATTGTTGCTGTTGTTGCTGCTGCTTCTGCTGCTGTTGATACTTTTGCTGATGATTATGATGGTGGTTGTGCTGATGATGACGACGACGATGATGCTGATGATGATGATGGACGGTGATGGTGAGGATGAGGAGGATGATGCGGGGGAGAGAGAAGGAAGAGGAGTTGGAGTTTGAAGAGATGGCTGATGATGAGGAGGATGAGGAGGGAACAGGAACAGGGCGTGGGAGAGGGCGGGGGGCAGGGGGCAGGGGGGAAGGGAGCGCGGGGCATCGTGAAGGGGAAAGGAGAGGGATGGTTAAGGGAGGGGTGGAGGAGGGAGGAGGGGAGGAGGGGAGGAGGATTGCGAAGAGGATGGGGAGGAGGATGTGATGGATAAGGGAGGAGGGTTGGAGGACGGAGGAGGGGTGGAGGATAGGGATGAGAAGGGGGCGCTGCCTCCTCATCCTCACTGCCAGCCGCATGCTCATGCTGCGTCTCCCCTCCTGCTCCCCCCCCTCCTCCCCGTCCCGCCACGCCCCGTCGCTTACAGCGGGGGCGCTGAAGAAGGAACCCTCTTCGTTGGGGAGGGGCTCCGTGTTCCTTGATTGCCTTACAGTTTTCCTCCGGCTTTCCTGAGGTTTTCCATTTGAAATCGAAGTTTATCTCAAGGGAACGTGGTCGACCCACGAACCCGGAAAGGAATATAGAAATGTAAGGCATTGCAACATTTCAAAGACACCTGATTGGGCGACGGGCACATGCAATGCCGAATGTATCGATGATGATGTATTGTGCCGAGGGCTGTGCTGTGCTACGCCGTGCTGAACTGCGATGTGCCATGCCGCGATTGTGCTCTATATAGCGTTGTGGATCGAGTCCTCCCTGGCATCCGAGTCCTCACCGAACTGATCTGGAGCGTAAGCTCGAGCTGCCTGAGCAGATGGTAGCTGCCCCAGAACTAATCGACAGAGGGAACATGCCAGGAGGACGCGCCGCGGAACGTCCCAAGGGACGCGCCAGGCGACGTGCCAGGGGACGTGCCATGGGGACGCACCGCGGGACGTGCCAAGGGGACGCGCTACGGAACGTGCCAATGGACGTGCCGAGGGACGTGCCAGGGGACGCGCCGCGCGACGTGCCAGGTGGACTCGCCACGGAACGCGCCAAGGAACGTGCCAAGGTGCATAGTTGAGTGTATCGATCTTGATGTACCGTGCCGACGGCTGTGCTGTGCTGGGCCGTGCTGAACTGCGATGTGCCATGCCGCGATTGTGCTCTATATAGCGTTGTGGATCGAGTCCTCCCTGGCATCCGAGTCCTCACCGAACTGATCTGGAGCGTAAGCTCGAGCTGCCTGAGCAGATGGTAACTGCCCCAGAACTAATCGACAGAGGGAACATGCCAAGAGGACGCGCCGCGGAACGTCCCAAGGGACGCGCCAGGCGACGTGCCAGGGGACGTGCCATGGGCACGCACCGCGGGACGTGCCAAGGGGACCTGCTACGGAACGTGCCAATGGACGTGCACCGCGCGACGTGCCAGGGGGACTCGCCACGGGACGCTCCGCGGAACGTGCCAGGTACCATGCCAGGCTGCAATGCTAAGGGTATCGATATTGATGTACCGTGCTGAGGGCTGTGCTGTGCCTGAGCGACCTGGACACGTGAAAACACGCGTTTCGCTCAAGACGTTGTCAGCACATCCTCATGCTAGACATCTGCCTGGGCAACCTGGACACGTGCAAACAAGCGTCTTGCTCGAGACATCCTCAACAAACGCTCATGCTAGACATCCGCCTGGGCGACCTGGACACGTGAAAACAAGCCTCTGGCTCGAGACATCCTCAATAAATCCTCATGCTAGACATCTGTCTGGGCCACCTGGAGGCGTGAAACCAAGCGTCTCGCTCGAGACATCCTCAAGACCTGGGCACGTGAAAACAAGCAATCCACTTGAGAGATTCTCAGAATTCAGGTCCCCAGGAGAGGACACTCTATAACACAAAACAAGCGTTTCGCTCGAGACATCCTCAACACATTCTGAAAAACAAGCGTTTCGCTCGAGACATCCTCAAATTTTAATTCGCCGGCCCTACGCGACCTCGTTATTTATCGCAAGAGAAATTCGCCGGCCCTACAGCCATCAAGTCTGGGGGTAAACCTACTAAAAGAGAACCCTGGGCCGGCGCCCTTTCCGGGAAAAGGGGCCTCGTTCCTTATTTTGGGTTCCTCAGGTCAACGCCCCGACTGTACTCCCCTCGTTTCCTCCTCCCTCCTCCCTGCCTCCTGCTGCCCGCATTCCCCCTTCGACCCCCTCTGCCTGCGCAGCCTCCGCGTCAGCCTCCCCAGCCTCCTCGTAGCCCTTCCCTCGCCACTATCCTCGTGCGTCTCTTCGCCCGCGGGCTTAATGCTCACTTTTTTTTGTTTGTTGTTCTCTCTCTCTCTCTCTTTCTCTCTTTCTCTCCCTCTCTCGTCATCTCGTTCCCTTTCTGTCTCTCTCTCGCCCCCCCTCTCTCTCTTTTCTCTCTCCCTCCTTCTCTCTTTCTCTCTCTTTCTCTCTCTCTCCCCCCCCTCCTCGACACCCTCCTCTCCTTCCCCCTCCTCCCTTCCTTCTCCTTCTTCTCCTCGTGCTCTTCTCCTCCCTCTCGTAGTGCAGCTGTCGTAGGCTTCGGCCCATTAGGGCAGTCGGGCGCCCGGCGGAATGGCGACGCCTGGCCGAGCAGCTGCAGTAGGCGTTGCAAGCGGCGCGCTGACCACGGCTGCGGTTTCAGCGCTCCTGGTCAGGCGATTCCCGGCGCTGACGAGAAGGAAGGAGGATACCGATGAGGACGAGGTTGTTGCTGCTGATGGTGGTTGTGATGGGAATGATGATGATGCTGCTGCTGTAATGATGAAGATGATGCTGATGCTGATGCTGTTGATGATGCTGCTGCTGATGTTGGTGATGATGCTGACGCTGATACTGATGCTGTTGATGATGCTGCAGATGCTGATGCTGATGAGGACGAGGTTGAGGATAAGGATGAACATGCGAACGATTATGGTGATGCTGCTGCTGATGATGCTAATGGTGACGATGAGGATGCTGGTGATACGGGTACTGATGATGCATGCTATGCTGATGCTGATACCGATGCTTAGATCATGCGGATCATGCTGATGGTGCTGCTGATGAGGTTGATGCTGAGTACGACGATATGACGGGGATGATGATGAGTTCATATGGCATGACATGGTATGAGATGTTCTGAAACGGTACGGAATGGTATGACATGGCATGACTTAGTACATGACATCACCCCGTGTTTTTTCTTATGTAGTTGTTTATTTTGCCTTGCACTCGATATATCCGTAAGGGCTTCGCCCCATGCCGCCGGCCCCCTGTCTCGGATAATGGGAGATGCAAAAGTTAAATCATGAGGTCTGGGCGCCACCGTGAAGCAGTGTCGGGACCTGTTTGTTTTCCGACCCTGACCCTACGGATCTGCGTCACGGGTGCCACCGAATTTCATGAATGTAGCAAATCCCTTGTCTTTTTGAACCCTGACCCTACGGATCTGCGTGAGGGGTGCCGCCGAATTTCAGAAATGCGGCATATCCTTTTTGTTTTTGGACCCTGACCCTCGAATTTCAGAAATGCGGCAAATCACATGTGTTTTTCGACCCTGACCCTGCCGATCTGCGTGAGGGGTGCCACCGGATTTCAGAAATGTGGCAAATCACTTGTGTTTTTGGACCCTGGTCCCGCCGATCTGCGTGAGGGGTGCCAGCGAATGTCAGACATGTGGCAAACCCCTTTTGTTTTTAAACCCTGACCCTACGGATCTGCGTGATGGGTGAAATGCAGCAAATCCCTTGTGTTTTTTGACCCTGACCCTGCCGATCTGCGTGAGCGGTGTTGCCGAATTTTAGAAATGTGGAAAATCAGTTGTGTTTTTGGACCCTGACCCTGCCGATCTGCGTGAGGGGTGCCACCGGATTTCAGAAATATGGCAAATCATGTGTGTTTTTGGACCCTGGCCCCGCCGATCTGCGTGAGGGGTGCCAGCGGCTTTCAGGAATGTGGGAAATCCTTTGTGTTTTTGCACCCTGACCCCGCCGATCTGCGTGAGGGGTGCCACCGAATGTTAGAAATGTGGCAAATCCCTTGTGATTTTGGACCCTGACCCCGCCGATCTGCATGAGGGGTGCCAGCAAATGTTAGAAATGTGGCGAATCCCATGTGTTTTTGGACCCTGACCCCGCCGATCTGCGTGAGGGGTGCCAGCAAATGTTAGAAATGTGGCAAATCCTTTGTGTTTTTGGACCCTGACCCCGTTGATCTGAGTGAGGGGTGTAAGTTTTTAAGCACCCAACAATTCAGAGCACACGCTCAGGGCGTTGTAAAAATGCATGTTTTGGGCCTCCCCCCCTCGCGCGGTCCATCAATAAGGAACAGTAAACAGCAAGACGCTGAATTGTAACACAGTAAGCAGCAAGAAGCAGAGCTGTAACAGTGGAAACTGGTAGCTGCAACTCGTACAGGAAACTGCGAAGCTTCGGCCTACGGCCTGGTGGCCCCACAAGGGGGCCGGCGGATCATTCTCATATTCCAGCGTCTGATACTACATTATACGATGACGTATGGATTTCTACTGCGGTGTATTATATTTGAGTATATTATGATGTGCAATATTATAGTGTATTCTGTCATATTATGCAATCTTATACAATACAATTCTATGATCCAGCCAACAGTACTTGATAATGTTTTACCATATATTATGATATTATTTTGTATTATATGATGCTGGTGGTGATGATACTGGGTATGGTGATGGGGATGGTGATGATGATTGTGATGAGGATGAGGATGACGATGTGGACTGGGTCGGTGATGATCTTGAGTATGCTGATGCATCGGATGCTGATAATGCAACGGATGCGGATGAGTCTGCTCATGGTACTGCTGATGATGCTACGTATGATGATGGTGGGGATGATTATAAGGCTACTGAGTAGGATGTGAATGGTGACGGCGACATTCATGATGATGGTGATGATGGTGTTGCTGATTCTAATGTTGATGCTAGCGACGACGACCAAAAAGACAGCGACGCTGATGCTGCTGCAGATGATGATTGTGATACTGATTTTGTTGATGGTGGCGATGATGACGATGGTGATGATGACGATCACGATGCTGATGATGATGCTGATGA